TTAATTACAAGTATCTAAAATCAAACCAAAAAGGAAGAAAGTTTATCATTAGATATGGACATGAAAATCGATCAGTCTAATTATAATTATACCTATATTTCGTTCCGTTTTTATCTTTAATTTAGCCACTTCAGTTTGGATCTTAAGACTGTCCTCGCAAACGTTCGTCTTTGAGATGGCACCGCCAGCAAATCAAACCTGTGCCCTCTCCAACGCTGGGTTCATAATACCAATATGAGTGTTCAAACTCTCATTATACTACACATTCTGAATTTCAATGTATATATAACCAACTTTAGCCTACAATACCTCCATTTTCAGAGTTCATACTCCACATTCAGTATTCATTTCTACACTTTCAGGATTGTTACCCCATTCTATATTCCTAATTTAAGCTATACCCTAAGTTATACCACATTTCACCATTCGTACCCGATTTTTCAGCATTTATGTCCAACTTTCAGAATTTATACAATAATATATAATTTATACAACCAGCATCCATAAAATCTACTCTCAGTATTCCTACACCAACATTGAGTATTTTTAAAAAAATATATTAACAGTGTTGATATCCCACATATAGAATTAATATCGCAATTTCTATATGTCTATACACCAACTTTCAACTTCAGTAGCCTATATGTTTCCAGTTTTAGCCTTCATTACTCAATTTTCTGCATTTATGCCCCACTAATTCACTAATCATACTTTAAGAATGGATACCCTTCTTTTAGTAGTTTATATACACACTTTCAACATCCATATACCTATTTTCAGTATTCATACACCAACCTTTAGTATTCATTTTCGTGCTTTAATGGATTGATACTCCACTTTCAGCATTTATATTCAAACCCCCATTTTCAGCATTTATACCCCAATTTTCATCATTGATATCCTACTGTCATCATTGATATCCTACTGTCAGCATTGATATCTTACTGTCAGCATTGATATCCTACTGTCAGCATTTATATCTTACTGTCAGCATTTATATCCTACTGTCAGCATTTATATCTTACTGTCAGCATTCATACGCCACTTTCAGTATTCATATCTTATATTTGTCATACATATAACTACTTTCAGTATTCATACACCCACGTTAATTATTCATTTTTATGATTTCAGCGTTCATACGCCATTCAGCATTCATAAAATCACGTTGAGTATTCAAACATCCAAACCCCCATTTTAGCATTCAAACCCTGACGCCTAGTATTCTACTTTCAGTAATTATACACATACTTCACTATCCAAACCCCTAAATTCAACATTCTTATCCCTACTTATATTATTCATATTTCCTCTTTCAGAACTACAATGTATCAATGTTACCAGTCTTAGTTTTCATAAACCTAATTCAAATTCCCCTTGATTCCCCCTATCATCGCCTAAAGCTCAGAAACATAGGCTAATAACCAGATGCGCAATCCATTTGACCAATCGTACCTTAGTCATACAGACGGGCATTTTTTGGTTAAGCTAATCAGTAATAGTGTTCACAAGTCACCGTCGAAATTTAAGCCTTTAAATCCATGTGTATCCGCGTTTGAAAGTTAAAATGACGAGTCGTCTTTTCTTGAGTCCATATATAGATAAGTCATACATAGAAATATAAAGTGAAATTCTTCGTTTGAGGTATTTACGAAGGAATTATGCGATTTTGGTACATTTCTAATACTGAAGACTATTTATATTCAGGCCACAAATCAACCCCCGAAATGGCAAAGTATGGCTTTTAATGATAGATGTGAAAGGGGGACAACTGTAACCTATACCGCACTCATGGTGAAACGTTAAAAGGGGTTTGTCTTGTCTTAAATCACAGGTATGTGTATAATCGATGGGATTTAAAATGACTCAGGAAGTAAAAAACAAAGAGATATATTACTAAGAAAAATTATTTATTTTCCATTTTTCAAATATATAAATACTGCATACTGGAATCTGAAAGTAAAATAATAAGAATTTGTTATCAACTGTTCTAATAAATCAGATATATATTCATCTTGTATCTTTAAGTCTTCTCTTAGCTCACACATTGCTTATCATATCTCTCATAACACCATTTAGGAATCCTATGCACTTATTAAATTGATCTAGATTGTAACATACGAAGATATCGTGCACATTTGATAATTGTGTTGCGACTGGGTTTTTAAAAGGCACAGTGACCAATCATTAAGTTAAAAATAAAATATTGTTAACGTACCTTATTTTTTACCCATCATACCAAGACCGCCCATCATACCGTAACCACCGAGCATACCGAGTCCACCATATCCCATCATGTAGGGGTTCATCATACCTAAACCTCCCATACCCATCATGTAGGGGTTCATCATACCCATCATATAAGGGTTCATCATACCCATCATATAGGGGTTCATCATTCCTAAACCACCCATCATCAGTGGGTTACCAGCCAAGGCCATGGAGGCCAAGGCCAAACAGAGAACGACGGCAAAGATCTTGTTCATTTTGGTTTCTGGAAAAGGGAATATAATGTATTACAGCGGTTACCGACTATGAAATAATGGTCATTTGATTTAACTTTAATTTTGGTCCTTATTTTACTGATTTAAATCTAACTCTCATAAGGTTGTGAAATGGTGTATGGTCGTCTACTTACCAGGTATAGCTGATGAAGCTGTGGTGTTGGTAGTAAGAAGGTTGTAAGAATTGTGATACTCTACCTTCATTAACACACGATATTTATACTCTTTTAAACTCTGTTACATCACCATTTTAATATTTAGATTTAATTAATCATTCTCCTCCACTGACAAGGATTTTCTTCTGTGATATTATGTAATTCATTAATCAGTTTTTAATTACAAGTAAATTACATTTACCCAATATGGAAGAAAGTACGAGTTTGTCATTAGTTTATGCACTATCTTCCACTTCAGTATTCATTTTTCCAGTTTCTACAATTAAAAGTTCCACTTTTTAATTTGTTTCCCTACTTGCAGGATATTAGCTCCATTTCAAGTGTTAATTCCCAATATTCATATTCTCAATTTCCACAATCAAGTTACTATCATAAGTTTTAGGTTCCCACTTTCTGTATTCATATGCCCACTTTCTGTATTCATATTCCCCCTTTCTGTATTCATATTCCCCTTTCTGTATTCATATTCCCCCTCCTTGCTGTATTCATATTCCCCCTCCTTTCTGTATTCATATTACCGATTTCTGTATTCATATTCCCCATTTCTGTATTCATATCCCCACTTCAGTATTCATTTGCCACTTTAAGTAGCCAAATTATCACTTCCGGTATTCATATTTCAACATTATAATTATGACTATGGAGAAAATTACTTGTAAAAATCAATAATTATTTTTAATTTTTTATTTCTTTATGTATTTCGTTAATTTTTTAACAGTGATTATCATCTGCTCTTTTTATTATTTTTTCAAATTATGTTCATTAATGATTAACTAATTACGAAACTGATTATACAACGAAATTAGCATGATCTACGTTAAAGAAACCACCCTGGGTACGTAACCCCCGCCTGCAGTGGCCTGGAGCATGTAATGTTATTTAGTAAGAAGTGGTAAGAAGCAAATTAACTTTATCAATTAAAAACTGCAAGCTACCTTCGGTCCAATTGATATACTGTGAACCGGGAAGTTTTGGGGGGTCAGATTTTTTGTATAAATACG